AATGGGATGGATGAAGTGATGGGAAAAGCAAAAGAGCAGACGGGAGAGGTGGTGAGAGGTGGAGAGAGGGGAGGGAAGTGAGGAGGCTGCAGGTGATGAATTAAAACGGATGTGTAATGGAGAAGTCAAGTGAGGAATAGAGAAAGAGAGATGGAGAAAGAACGAGTGAGCGAGGAAAGAAACGACACTAATGGGAAACTCTTCAGCAAAGACAGTGATATGTGTGTGTGTGTGTGTGTGTGTGTGTATGTGTGTGTGATGCTTTCCCAATTAATGAGCAAGGTAGGCAGAGAGACCTTAACCTAACACACACACACACACACACACACACACCTGGGCAGTAGAGTGAGTTATGTAGCTCGGCTCTGATACGCTGATAGAGATGTGACATAAAGACGAGCGAACAGCAGACCTGCTTTATTACTCCACTGACTTCTTCTCCTCTCTCCTCCCCTATCCCTTCTTTCTTTTTCTTTCCTCTTTTTTTATTATCCCTTTTCTTATTTCTAGTTAGTCTTTTTTTTTTTTTTTTTTTAGTTATTCTCTTCTCTGTCCTTCACATACACTTCTGGCTTTGTTTTCCTTTGACTTGTTGTTTTTGCATCGGAATTCTTTTCTTTCTTTTTTCTTTTCCTCCTGTGTCTAGTTACCTTGTATATCGTTGCTGATTTCCACGACCCTCTTATTTTGTATCTAGTCATCGCTTTTCTTTTCTCTTCTTTCTTTTTTGTCTTCTGTTCAGTTCTCTTCTCTTCTGGTCTCTCGTTTCTTTTCTTCTCTTTTCTGTCTCATCTCACCTCTTTTCTTCTTTTTTCCATATAAGCTTATCACTTCTTTTCTTTTCTTTTCTTTTCTATACTGAGACTAAGAAAGACTTAAAGAAAGACCATTAAAAAAACCTTTAAATCATTAATGTTTACGAGGGGGCGCTTACTTTCGAAAGATGTATGTGTTGCTGGATGGGTGGCTTCAGTACTTGCACTCTGACAGCCCTGAACTCGGATGGGTTCTTTGTTGATACGTGGAGCAGATGAAAGTGTGTGGCGTCACTGAGCCGTCACTCATTTGCTATCTAGAAGACACCAGACCTACACTCTGGCCCAGAGAGTCTTTATAATGGATGTTTTGCAAGGAAAGTTTTTCTTTTTACGTTTATTGAGCTGTTAGCGAGGAGCAGACTGACGGACAGGCCTGGAAATCAGAGAAAGCTCGTGTAGCTACAGTAGATAATGGAAATGAACTGCTGAGGACAGACAGAAGTGAGGAACTGGATAAACTGACTGACAGACAGAAAGCCGGGTGTAAATGAGCTTTCCTCCAGCGGTGATGCATCCTCTGGCGGCTTCCGTGTGACAAGCAGCGACATCAGACTAATCAGCTGCTGCATCCTGATACTGACACTAAAGCAGCACGACACAAACCGTGTGTGTGTATGTGTGTGTGTGTGTGTGTGCGCATGTGGTACTGAGCTGGGATTCAGATACGGCGACTTTCTGATGGAGTCAAAGGAGCTTGAGAGATAGACAGAATGATCCACTGTGACACCTCAAAGCCGCTCTCGGAAATCAGATGGCGCCGAAACAGAGGAGAAAAAAATAAATAGGGAGCCAAAATAAATAGAGAGAGAGGCTGAAAGAGTGAGGAGGCACAGAAGTCACAGAGAGCCAGGTTAGCAGTGAAGAGAGGTGTATCGACCTAATGAGCTCTTTCTCTGTAGCAGGCAGACGATCCCTCTCTATCTCTATCTCTCTCTCTCTCACGCACACTTACTCACACACCTCTCCCCCTTCCTGATCGAGTGACAATCTTGGCTGCCGCCCGCGTGTCAGGTCCTGTTTGTGACGATGACTTTCTCTCGTTTGAGGCTGACTGGCTGTGGGATGTGTGCAGCTAAATGCCAGGAGATGAGCAGATTGCTGTTGGTTTGGCTCGTAAATAGGACTGAAAATGAAGACTGTCTATTTCTTTTCTGTTTTTGCTCTGTTTGAATAGAGACGTGCAAAGAAGGAAACAAGGGCAAAAGTCTCACTGTGTGACTAAATGTGTTGCAAAGTACTAGCAGTTACTCCAACCCTTTCATTTAACCCTTTCATATCATATACACACTCATAGACTGTTCATTTAGAAATATATCAGATGTAAATCATCTCCAAAATATCCCAATGTTATATACCCCATTATACTGTAACAAACTTTATTATTATTATTATTATTATTATTATTATTATTATATTTTTTAATACATAACAAATAGAAATTTATTAATAATTATGGACATGATTTAAAAAATATATATATATATTCTATAATATGTTCTGGAAAATATATAAAAGAATATAATTTTACACATTGCAAGTATTTTTCTGCAGTAATGTTTTTACCCCATTTTATTTGCACTTTATTCTTGCTATTTCTAAGTGATTTTTAGAAAAAAGAAAAGTCAAAATTTACAAGAATTCACATTAAACTCTTAACTATGGCCTGGGTTGCCAGGTCAGTGTGGAGGAAAACGGGAAAACAAGGCAGAAGTTGGAAAAAATCCAACCCTCTCCCAAGCCTTGTCAAATGTTAATAATGTTTATATCATACATTTAAAAAAAAAAAATCATATTTAAATCATGGCAGTTTTCACCAAGGTCATAAAATGCTCTCATCTTCCATGTGGACAGGGTTGCCAGATATTGGCAGTGAGGGAAAAACCCAACAGTCCATAAAACCAGTCCAGGTCCAAATCTCAAACTTTCAAAGTAACATCATTTACATTACATTTTTAACAAATTAGAATTAAAATAATGTTTATTTCTAAACAATTCTTTCACCGAGGTCACAAAATGTTCTCATATAATTATAGATTAGTGATGGAACATTCATACAGTAACTAACTCTGCTATTTTTCATTTATAGTAGGTACATTTCCTGTAATTACAACACCATATTTCCAATGATGCACAATTTCATGTTAATCTACTACAAACGTGGGTAAACTGCATACTTGGCAACCCTGGCTGTGCCTCCCTGTAAACCTCTCTCATCAACATCTTTAACTGCTCTACGCAGCTCTTAAATATAGCTGCGGCTATTAATTTTGCAACCATGATCTAAGGAAAAAAATGTTTGCAATGGATTAAACTGGAGCCATATTGCTAATGCTAATGACAACGCAACCGTTCCATGCAATTTCTTAACTAAACAGCAAAAAGCAGTGTGTCTCCAATCGAGTGCTGTGTTATACACACTGCAGGATTTGACTTTGCACAATAAAGTCTGTTCTTAAATCCAGAAGCACTTCTTGTAAAATCCTCCAGTCTGCTCTCTGACTTAAACTGGCCCATAAAACGTTGTTATTGGTTTATTTTAAGTGTCTATGAACTGGCTTGAGGATGATTTGCGTCTGGATATTGAAACATTTCCTTATAAAACCGAAAGCCACAACAGGACTTGTAGAAGCGCATAAATGATTTCGACATCAGCCAGTAGTGTTGAAGAGACACCGTGTCCTGGCTGCGGCCACACTCCTGAGCGATAACCCGCAGGATTTATGTTCATGTGGGCTGGACAGAACCTTCTAGAGAAAATTTTGTTGGGAGTGCTGGATGAGTCAGTAATATTTCTTCCAAAAAAAAAGATAAACTGAAAGCATTTATGAGACAGGCAGATATGTGTCTCGTTGCCAGGAGAGACATAAAACACGTTAATTTTGATTTCACAGGCATTTTACGGTCAGTAAATCCTACACAAGCAGCTTTCCTGTGGCTCTTTTCTGTCTTTTCTGCATCCTCGAAAGACTACAACCTTTCACTAGACAAGACCAAATTTAGCCATCCCATGCGTGTCTGGCAGAGATGTTTCATTTCACATCTTTTAGATGTCTTTGTGCTCACTGGGTCAGTCTTGCGAGAGTATCGTGTCGACTTCTTTAACAGCTCTATACTCGGTTTAGCTTCTGCCTGACTTCTGTGTCGTGTTGGATAAAAGCGTTTGGCGAATGAATAAATGAAAATGTGGTTATATTAAGAGTCCAAGACCTCAATCCAGCTCTCTGCCTCTTGCAATTTACTTCAGTTTAACTCAAGACAGCTTTATTGGCAAGGTCGTATCAAGTACTGTATTGCCTAAGCATGTACATGTAGAAAGAAATACATCTTTATACATGCATTCACATTTTTTTAAACAGAAAAAGTACTAGTCTTGACTCCTTTTATGCTGATATGGAAACTATCCTTATTGGCAGTGGACTGGATTATGCTCCAGACCACAGAGAGTCAGAACTTGGGAATTCAGTGGACACTTTGGTCTCAGCTGGATGATTAGGATTTTGCAGATGACATAATCCTAGCATATCACACACATGCCAGCTGATGCAATCCAAAAGATCCTGGCTAGTGGTCACATCAGCCAAGACAGGCTTGACAATTAGCAAAGACAAGCCCAAGGTCATGCACACAAACAACACCAGTGATGACTGCATCCATCTGAAAGGAGTAGATCTGGAGGAAGTGGAAACCTTCACATACCTTGGCATTGCCATATGGAAGGATGGAGGGACAGACACAGACATCTAGGCAAGTATAGGGAACACAGGGCAGGGTTTTTGATTCTTACGAGATAGTCAAGAGCACCAAGCTCTGAATATTCAGCGCAAACGTGAAGCCAGGGCTCCTCCATGGCTCAGAAACATGGCGAACTACGTCAAAAACCAAGTGGCTGCAGAGCATTGTGCAGATACATTGGATAAACACCATTAAAATGAAGCCCTCTGGAAGGAAATGGGATAGGAGAGGATTAAGGTCCAGATCAGGAAAAAGAAGTGGAGCTGGTTGGGACACACCCTCTGAAAAACCTGTGACCAATGTAGCCAAACTATTGCTAAAATGGACCCTGCAGTGGCGATGGAAGACCAAGGAAGACCTGGAGAAGGTCACTGGAGGCAGAAACGAAGGAACTAGGATACACATGGAAGAAAGTGGAGAAAGCAGCTTAAAACAGCAGGAGATGGTCAAGCAGTGGTGGTTCAATGGTTAAGACTCCGGGTTACTGAGCAGGTGGTTAGAGGTTTGAGCCCTGGCCCTGCCAAGCTGCCATTATTGGGCCCTTGAGCAAGGCCCTTAACCCTCTCTGCTCTAGGGGTACTGTATCACGGCTGACCCTGTGCTCTGACCTCAACTTCCTCACAAGCTGGGATATGTGAAGAAAAGAATTTCACTGTGCTGTAATGCATATGGGACAATTCTTCTTTCTCTCTAGGAGAGAAGAGGTTTAAGTCACTTTGTCCTCTTGCCCACCTTCAACTTGTGATCTGATTGGTCGGGAAGTAAAATAGTGCTTGATGTCACTTGATGCTAAAGTTCTACTTTGGAAGCGCCGTAATGAACAAGAAAAAAAAAAAAAACAACAACAACTAAAGCTGCCAGTGGCACCATATATTAAAGTGCAATTTATACTATTTAAACATATTTCTAGATCTGTAATAATCCTATCATTTTAAAGCTACGTTAAACAAAGTTATTCACAATTTCAAAAGAATTGCAAAATATCTGACTAGTTTTTCCATCTCAGGCTTCTGTTTACATTTTTTCTGGCCCAGAAATAAGCTCCGCCCCCAGTGGAAAACAGCTCTCGCGAAATACACACTGTTTGGAGGCATATTAATGTTTTATTGCTGTTTGCATTCCAGCTAGGAGAGAGGTATAAAAATGACAAATTACTCCTTTAAAGCAATAGAAGGATGCGAAGTGGGTGTGACACGAAGACTCATAAACGCGAGTCAAACGGTGATCATTTTTCAAAATTATTTTTGAAATTTGTCTGTGAATTTCTCATGTGGGCTTGAATATCGACAAGCGCCCCAACTGCATCTGCCCTGCAGCAGCATCGTGTCTAGGTAAAATATTAATTCACACCTTCTCAAGATCTCGTTTCTGCTGTTTTTATAAAATCCCAAGGAATAAGAGGAAAATGAATTAAATAGGTGATAATGAAGACACTTGTAGTCTTTTCTTTTTTTTCTTTTTTTTCTTTTTGCTCATTAAATTCTCTGTGTGTGATTGCTTTCCCTCCTGCAGAGTCAAAGCTCTGCACTTTCCACATTTGGCCTTTTGTGTATTTATGGGGCGTATCGCAGGGTTTTACTCGCACGGTTTACTGCAGTAAAAAAGTACATTGAGTTTGTGGGGATTCGTTTGAACAGATGTCATAGTGCAGCGCATATAGATGTGGCGTGTTGGAGCATTCCCCGAGTTCCTGAGGAGCAAATGGGAACAAATACAGCATATTACTTATTTATCTCCCAGGTGTACGGTTCCTGTGTGTGTGTGCGTGCGTGTGTGTGTGTGTGTGTGTGTGTGTGTGTGTGCGTGCATGGTAGAGCATTAATAGGACAGAGACAGGGACAGGTTAAACAGAAGTAAGAAGGAACTACTAGGCTCCGAGACTTTGAATTTGGTTACAAAGTTGGCACTACAGATTTAAAACATGTTTTTTTTTAATGTTTGAGATTAAAAAAACAGATATATATATATGTTAGAGTTCCAGTTACTGCAGTGTTTTAGATTTAGTTTAAAGATATAAGGCATATGTGGTATGTGTGTAACTTTTTGTGTGATATTCACCTCTACATCGTGAAGACATTTATTCAGAGATCGTGAATCAGTGAAATGAGACACTTATGCAGTCCATATAGTTTTCTGATTTTTAGTCATATTCTTAGGGAGTCTTTTTTTTTTCTAATTTAATTACCTGTATAAATCATGTGATATTACAATGAAGTTTAGTGTGTATTTTCGTACTTACTTACCACCATGTTGCTTCAAATATTATATCATTTATTTGCAGTACTTTGAGCCATATTTATCTTAATACCTGCCTGGTATTTCAGCAAAATTTAGTTAAATTGTCTTGGCTCCAGAGTTGGCAGTACCCAGTTAATACCTAGGGGACTGTAAATTAAAAAGAGTTACCCAATGAGATCAGTTTATTGAGTTTCTTGAAGGCTTACTCTGAGCTATGAGTGTAAAAATAGCCTTTAGATGAATGTGCTGTATGCACCCATAATTCTTGCACTAATAGGTGGCAGATCTTTCACGTGGGTGATGTGCATCAGTAGGGAGGAAACAGCAAAGTCGGCTGATTTCCTGGTTTTCAGCAAACTCAGCTGCCCACACAGCCACAGTGATCTCTCTCCCTCTCACCCTCGGCCCAGTCAGTCGGACAAAACGGACACGGTGACCAGTGGTGACGTTATAAACCTGAAATCCTTCCTCGGAGTAATTTGAGCAGGCGTCTTGATTAAAAGGCTAAAAAGAATCTGAGGCATCTGAGTAGAACCCAGTGAAGGGTACTCTGTTCCACCCACCTTTAGTTTGCAGGAGTTGAACATGTATTAACTTATCAGCATGAGTGACAAATGGGGGGAAAAAAAAGGTGGCTCTATTATGCCATGGTTCACATGCGTCAAGACAACAATCCAATCCATTTTAACCAGCGTTTCAGTCCACACGTTGCATTAGAGTCACGTCAGATTCGAGCCCACATGGCGCATTTTCCTTGTTTTACACTTCATGCGTGTTTTTTTTTCACCCGTGTGCATAGGTGAGCGAAGTGTAAAGTACATAGAAATCGACTGAAATCTCAAAACAACACTTTCTACTGTGTATACAGTGCACTTTATTTAAAATCATCTAAAGAGATGTCAGTGATTGCTCAATCTAGAGCTGCATACTAAAGTGCTATGATACTCATTTTACACCAACATGGGAAAACAAAATTAACATAAATATAGAGCTTATTCACTGCCTCACTGTCTCATGTCATGTTTTTAGGTGTACGGTTTTGTAATTACAGCTAGCAGATTGCTACACACAAAGCATTAGCGACTACTTCACGACAAGTAGCTGTGTACCTACTCTGATGAAGCGTGGAGCAGGTTGCCTTGTTCTTATGTCCTATTATATAATCCTGTAATGTGAGTTACACACTGAGGGTCATTTATACAGGAAATGAAGGAGGTAATGAATTCAGGTTCATTCAATACACGTTCATATGAATGTGGATTGGCTGAAGTCTTGATGTGATGGTTGATGGTTATCTGGTGTGAATTTGGGGTTAGTCTGCGCTCATCACCACCATCATTAAACAACAACGGAGAAAGTATCTATAAAAGATCGATGTTCATCCCTCTATACAGTTTCAGAGATCTGTAGAAACTATGGCAAGGCAAATTGAAGCTGTTTTGGTGGTTTATGGTGTCCCAAATCCTTCCTAACACACTTCTGTCTATAGTACAGAAGGAGTTTATGCCCTTGTTCAAGGGTAGTAGCACTGCTGCCACTTTCTCATCTCAGAACCATGAGTCTCTGCTGGTCCTGAGACTTAACCTCATGAGTTTTTGGTGATAGACCACCGATCCACCACAGCTACAGACTCCTTGAGTGTGATCTCCATTATCTCTCTATTACATGATCTTCCTTTTGATCAGCTCATCCATAAGTTTAAAACAGCAGTGTTAAACAGCAGAGTTTAAAATTTCTAAAAGCTAAGACACCCCATCAGCTCGTTTGCTAGGCCTGAGTGTTATTCATAACAAAGAGTGCACCATGCTATGTTTTCATTTACAACTCCATTGGCCATTTGGCTGCCGATCGTAGAGAAAGACCAAGCCACACGCAAAACCTAGAGCCAACCTCATTAATATACAGAGCAAATGATTTGTTGTCCTCACGTAAATGCACACACACTCACACATGCAATCACACTATGTCTAGTTAAAGAGTCATTTTACAGTTTTCATACACGCTTTTTTTTTCTCACTCCATCAGCCTTATGCTCATAACAGGAAATATTTAATATGTTTCCATCAAGTTGGCAGTTTGGGTTTCACGTAAATATCAAGTGTTGCTAATAGTTGCACAATCTCGTGCTAACATGAAGTGAAATCCTTCAATATGACAGAGATACAAGGACATCCCTGTACCCAATTTCTTTATATTTAACTAAACAAAGTCATTATATTTTTATGCATTCAGTTTAAAGCATCCAATCGAATTCATCACTGTGGAAAAAAACTATCAAGAATCCTGACAATTTATCATCTGCCATGATGTTCTTATGCTAAACAATGTAGTTAGCTCTGTAGCTATCCGTGTGCATCGATGAGCGCCCCTTGCCCTACCTCAGTAAAATGTTTCAATATGCTGACATAAGCAAATTGCTCTTTTCCCTAGCAGGCATGAATGGCATCTGATTTTGTTAACTTCCTAACATTAACTGGCTATAGTTAACCAAGTTAGCCTGTTTTCTTTGCTAATGCCAGGTTAGACAAGAATCGATTCCAGTAGCTAATACAAGTGGCTAAGCAGCAAGTCAAATTCTGGCTAATCGTAAATTTTATTTCTTATTAATTCATTATTAAACTATGCAGAGCTAGTCATGCATATGACCAACAAACCTACAGTACAAAGATAGTTTAGTTTCAGTCTCAGATCCTCCGACCACAGCTCATTGCGCGTCTGATATTTTTTTTGCACTCTTTTGGCCACAAGCTTCAGAATCTTGTAGGTTGTAATCTGATTGGCTCTCACGCGTCTGTATGTCTGCACACCAGTTTTCAGCAGGAAGACAAATTTCTGAATACCTTCGAAACACCCAGGGAGTTTTTTCAGAGCAATAGGTGTGAACTGTCTGGCAAAAAGCTAGACATCTGGTATGCCAGACTACATGGACATCACAGGTGTAGTTTAAGGCTACATGGGAAACCAGGCTTCCGCTAAAATTTAAAAATGTAGCAATGAAATGCTTATATCATGCTGTTTGTTCATTTAACTCTCCGTTGAAACCCATGTCACGGAGCTAATAGACACACATTGAAGCCTGTGTGTCAATTAGTGTGTATTAGGGGTTCATGTACTCGCTGTTTTAATGGGATGAAAGATTGACGCTCAACAGGCTTTTAACACGTCATTTTGAGTCTTGCCCAGACGCACGGCTCCACTGTATGCAGTGTGGGTGGGTGCAGAAAAAAAATATCTTGATGTTTATTGGACAGTTTGCTCTTCGTTCGTCCTGTCTGGATGCACAT